CATAGCAGTTTCTCTGAAACTGCTATTTTATTAAAAAATGGGTTAACCCTAGCTGGACCAGGCACCCAGACCACTTCATTAAGCTGAAGTGGTCTGGGTGCCTAGAGTGGTCCTTTAAGTGCCAATGGTCCTCTGTTGGTCCTAAGGGCCCCTAAGCAGAGAGTCCATTTCTAACTTAAATGGAAGCTATAGGCACCATTATAAGTTTATCTTAATGATGCAGTTTTGTTGTATAGATCATGCACCTGCTGTCTCACTGCTCAATTCTCTGTAGTCTAGGAGTTAAATCACTCTCCCTGCATGTGACTTACACAACCTTCCTAAACACTGCCAGAAAAGAGAAATCCAATGTTTAAAGGAACACTATAGGGTCAGGAACACAAACATGTATCCCTGACCCTATAGTGTTAAAACCACCAGCTGGCCCTCACTAGCCCACCTAAATTTAGCAGAATCGTACTTTTGTTTCAGTCTGCTGCTGCTGGCTCTGCCCCTGATCTTCCTGCTTTGCTGACATAATCAGAAGTGATTCTCTCAGCAAATCACAATTCTTTCACATAGGAAAGCACTGGATTGGCTAAAACTGTCAAGGAGGCAGAGCAAGCACAAACCATGAATCAATTAATCTCTACGCGGAAAATTCAATGTCTCCATGCAGAGAGAGGAGACACTGAATGGCAGTGTGTAGCATTTCCCCAGGATGCATGTCCAGTTGCTATCTGAGGAGTGGCCAGTGGAGGTATCCCTATGCTGTAATGTAAACAATGCCTTTTTTCTGAAAACATTAAAACATCTGATTAGCCTATTATACATATATAATACATATATAAGTTAATTCTTACTGTATTTTAGTATACATATAAATATTAATACCAAAATACACTTAGAATTAAATTATATATGTATTATATATGTATATGTATAATATGCTAATCAGATGTTTTAATTAACTTATAATATATTATACATATAGTAAAAAATAAAAATAAAAATTCAAAATATATTTGTAATGTCATAAGTGTATTTGATCCCCTGATGATTTTGAACGTTTGCCCACTGACAGAAATTATCAGTCTATAATTTTAATGGTATTTTAACAGTGAGAGACAGAATAACAAAAAAAAAAAAAAAAATTCCAGAAAAACTCATGTCAAAAAAGTTAAAAATTGATTTACATGTCAATGAGTGAAATAAGTATTTGATGCCCTATCAATGAGCAAGATTTCTGGCTCCCAGATGTCTTTTATACAGGTAACAAGCTGAGATTAGGAACACTCTTTTAAAGGGCGTGCTTCTAATCTCAACTTGTTACCTGTATAAAAACCACCTGTCCACAGAAGCAATCAATCAGATTCTAAACTCTCCACCATGGCCAAGACCAAAGAGCTGTCCAAGGATGTAAGGGACAAGATTGTAGACCTACACAAGGCTGTAATTGGCTACAAGACCATCACTGAGCAGCTTGGTGAGAAGGTGACAACAGTTGATGTGATTATTCACAAATGGAAGAAACACAAAATAACGATCAGTCTCCCTCGGTCTGGTGCTCCATGCAAGATCTCACCTCGTGGAGTTTCAATGATCATGAAAATGGTGAGGAATCAGCCCAGAACTACACGGGAGGATCTTGTTAATGATCTCAAGGCAGCTGGGACCATAGTCACCAAGAAAACAATTGGTGACACACTACGCCATGAAGGACTGAAATCCTGCAGCTTCCGCAAGGTCCCCCTGCTCAAGAAAGCAGATGTACAGGCCGGTCTGAAGTTTGCTTAGACCAAAATCGAGCTCTTTGGCATCAACTCTACTCGCCGTGTTTGGAGGAGGAAGAATGCTGCCTATGACTATAAGAACACCATCCCCACTGTCAAACACGGAGGTGGAAACATAATGCTTTGGGGGTGTTATTCTGCTAAGGAGAAAGGACTACTGCACCGCATCAAAGGAACGATAGATGGGGCCATGTACCATCAAATCTTGGGTGAGAACCTTTTACCCTCAGCCAGTGAATTGAAAATGGGTTGTGGATGGGTATTCCAGCATGAATTACCCAACACACAGAGCCAAGGCAACAAAGGAGTGGCTCAAGAAGAAGCACATTAAGATCCTGGAGTGGCCTAGTCAGTCTCCAGACCTTAATCCCATAGAAAATCTGTGGAGGGAGCTAAAGGTTCAAGTTGCCAAACATCAGCCTTGAAATCTTAATGACTTGGAGAGGATCTGCAAAGAGGAGTGGGACAAAATCCCTCCTGAGATGTGTGCAAACATGGTGGCCAACTACCAGAAACGTCTGACCTCTGTGATTGCCAAATAGGGTTTTGCCACCAAGTACTAAGTCGAAGGGGTCAAATACTTATTTCACTCATTGACATGCAAATCAATTTCAAATTTTTTTGACATGTGTTTTTCTGGATTTCTTTTTGTTATTCTGTCTCTCACTGTTAAAATTCACCTACCATTACAATTATAGACTGATAATTTCTTTGTCAGTGGGCAAAATCAGCAGGGGATCAAATACTTTCCCCCCTCACTCTCTCTCTCTCTATATATATAATATATGTGTGTATGTATGTACATGTATGTATACATATAAATATATGTGTATGCATATATATATATATATATATATGTGTAAAAAACAGATAAAATGCGTATCTTGTAATACCTTTTTTTATTGGACTAACAGAATGTTTTACTGACAAGCTTTCGGGAGAACCTCCCTTTCTCAAGTCCCAATGGGAATTCATGCATTCTTTATATTAAAGAATCTTCTAGCACCATCTTCAGCACTGTCCGCTTGTTTTTTTTTCTCCCTCTCCCCCCTCACTCAGTGAACTTCGCATAAGATGTTTAAGACCCTCTCTGCAAGAATGGTGTCTATTTTCTATCAAACCTGTCTTATCTGCACTCATGTCGCTTTAACCCCTGTATCACAACTCAACTTTGAATTCTATTTGTCGTCTTGCTCAGAAATGCTTCAGACTTGAGAAAGGGAGGTTCTCCTGAAAGCTTGTCATTAAAAAATTCTGTTAGTCCAATAAAAAAGGTATTACAAGATACACATTTTATCTGTTTTTACATCTACATTACTGGACTAATACGGCTACAATCTCCACATATATATATATATCTTGTTAACACAATGTTTAACAACAACCTGCACACCAGTCAAGCCATAAGACTTGCTTTTCCCACAGAAATCACAAATTTGCAGTGATGTTGCTACCGCAAAGGATTCTGGGCGGGCATATGCAAATTAGTTCAACAAAGAATCACATTTTTGATGCATTCCATTTTAAACATGGATTCCTTTGAGTCTGTTTTTGCTGTATGCAACAGCTTTGAAACACAACTTAGGAAAAGATGCAAAGCCAGTGAACCACTCATGGACAGCTGTTTCATTGTTAATGCAAATCATCAGCATAAGGTTGGTTGATGCCTTGCAATTGAGGCTTGGCAGTACTTGCGAAGAAAAAACAAAAAAGTTATGGTGGGGAAAAAAATTGTGATTGAATACCCCTTCCATCTGAAGTCTGTGGGTAGTCAATACAATGTTAAACAAAAATCTGCACACAAGTCAAGCGATAAGACTTGCTTTTCCAACAGAAATCACAAATTTGCAGCAAGCAACCTGGATAGAGCTGTCCCCCGACCTTGTGGACCGGCTGGGGTTATCCCAGTCCCTATAGCTTCACACCGCAACTAAGTGACCGACACAGACCGCATGGTGCACCCGGCAAACACATCTAAGATGATGGACGAGCTCTCTATACAGAGGCACGAGCTGCAAAGGTCGGGGCCAGTCCTACCGGGCTCGGTGGACTGCATGCTTCAAAGGCTGAATAAAGTGTTCCAGAGATTCTGGTGACGGCTGAAGGCTCAGATGTCGACCCCACAGACCCAGCATCAGGGAGAGAGCGCACTGGCGAGAGCCGCGGAGAGCCTGGGCCCCCTTTTGGGCACAGCAATCTCACAAGCCCCTGCAAAGCATACTCCGGGCCTAACAAAGCCGAGGGCCACTCTGGCAAAAGCCGTCAAACCTCGACCACGTCAGCGGAGACCCGGTACCCACATGCGGCAGCAGACCGCACGTAGCCCCCACATTCTCCCGGCAAGGAGGGACTTGGATCACCCGGATGATAGGGTCCATAGACCCCAGCTGTGGGCCCCCATTTCAAGCATGGAGAAGTAGGGGCGAGATCCCAGCACACCGTGCTCAAGCTACCATACCCGGAGTATCACCGACTTTACTGAGTCAAGGCATCGGCTGACATAGACATGCCACCCCCGAGAACACAAACCCCACTGCTCAGGGACACATTTCTATAAGCCACAGCTGCCAGTGCCACTACAGTAATCTGATGTACCCAGCTAAAACCATACTGAAGTTGCCACTGATATTGAGCTAGTTTTGCTATCTATGCTTTTGTTTAACTACATTTTCATGCTTTTGTTTAACTACATATTGAAGCTATATAGGGGCTGACCAGGGGTTCATCCCCCGAGTAACGTTACACAGGCACACCTTCTCAGCATACTGCAGGACACATACCTTATGTACCCACACAACTCCATGACTAAACTCCTGCAGGATAGTACACTTCATATGATAAATACCTGCCTATGCCAAAGGATAGCCAAACATGTTACTGACTCTCATCTTGTACCTAGCTTGAACTACACTACATAAACTTCATGCTTTAACCTATGTCACTCTACCTATAATATAAAATTGTGCATGTGTTCTCAAATAACCCAAATGTAAAGCATGATAATATGCCTGAGGAATGCCGTTGGGGTACCTCAAGCCTGTTTGTAACACTCTTATGCACTGCAAAAATAAAAAATAAAAAAAATATGAGTGTTAGAGCAATAAAATCCTGCCTAAGCCCTACAGTAAAGGAAAAGATTGTACAGCAAATGCTAATGCCAATCATTGATTATGGGGATGTAGTATATGCACCTGCATCGCAATCCCACATTAATAAACTCAACACATTGTATAACTCGTTCTGCCGATTTGTGCTACAATGTAATTACAGGACCCACCATTGTGACATGCTAAAAGAACTAAACTGGCTGTCGCTGGAATCCAGACGCACCCTTCATCTTTCCAGCCTTGTGTTTAAGAGCTTTTCTGGGAAACTCCCACCCTACCTGAACAAAATGCTTTCCCCAGCTGTTCCCACTTCCTATAAGCTCCGATCCAGTACCAACACTTTACTTAGTCTACCTCAATACAAAAAGAAAACGGCCCGATCCTCCTTCTCCTACAGAGCACCACAATTGTGGAACGACCTCCCGCACAATTTAAAATCTACCCTAAGTCTAAAGTCCTTTAAGAGATCCCTCTCTACATACCTCAAAACAGAATGCACCTGTCATGGTTGATTATATATTTCCTACCTGTTCTATGTTAAATTTTGTATTTATTGTGTATTAATATTATTTTTGTATTTTATTGTACTCTAATGTAACAATGCAATGATTTGTGGACCCACGACATACTTGAAAACGAGAGAAATCTCAATGTATCTTTCCTGGTAAAATATTTTATAAATAAATAAATAATTGACAATGGTATCATTAATAAAAGGGCAGTTTTTTGTGTGTGAATTTTTTATTTTTTTTTAAAAACCATTATGAACACTACATTTGGCCAGTGTTTGTGACTAAGTGGCTACTAAAAAAGACTGGATATTCCCCATTCTCAATATCATTGGTTGTCTACTTTTACATATGATATGCCATGATGAGGGTAATTCTCATTGCTGAGCTGCCATATTTTCTCACCTAACCAATCTGGCAAACTGAAATGGGAAAGCCCTATATTTGACCCTGTAATTTTCCAAAACCCCATAAAACCTTCACAGGAGGGTACTGTTTTACACGTCAGACATCACTGAACACAAATATGAGTGTGTTAGAGCAGTAAAACTTAAAATGACAATGATATTATCAGTGAAAGGGCATTTTTTTTGGCGGGGGGGGGAAAGGTGGAATGCAAAAAAACTAATATGAACGCTAATTTTGGCCAGGTTTATGCCATGATGGGGGTAATTCTCATTACTGGGCTGCCACACAGTCTCAAGGCATCATAACCAATCTGGCAAATTTAAATGTGTAAAAAATTAAATGGGAAGCCCTATATTTAACCCTATAACTATCCAAAACCCCATAAAACTTGTACATGGGGGTACTGTTTTATCCGTCAGGAATCCCTGAACATAAATATTAAAGCAATAAAACCTATATTGACAATGATATCATCAGTGAATGGGCAGTTTTTTTGAGTGAAAAATTAAAAAAATATTATGAACACTGCATTTGGCCAGTGTTTGTGACTAAGTGGCAACTAAAAAAGACTGGACATACCCCATTCTGAATACCCTTGGCTGTCTTCTTTTGTGAATGATATGCCACGATGGGGGTAATTTGGGGCTGCCATACAGTCACAAAGGCAACGTAACCAATCTGGCAAATTTCAATGTGTAAAATATTAAATGGGCAAGCCCTATATTTGACCCTGTAACTTTCCAACACTCTAAAACCTGTACATGCAGGGTACTGTTTTACTCATGAGACATTGCTGAACACAAATATGAGTATTTTTTTTTTTAAATTCTTTATTTTTTGCTCCGATAGACAAGCAATGATACAGTGACATAGGTTTAGATGAGGCTGTGGTAACATAATGACAAGTTACAGGTTACAGAAAGCAAATTTAATCCGTTAGTACAGTCATTAGGTTTACAGTGTGCGACCTTGTTGCGGTTGTCATCAGGATTTTTCTTGTATGTTGTCAAACAAATACAACTATATACAATGACAGTATGTTTGAGGAGTATATTGTGTTGGCTGGTTACTGGTACCATAGGAGATAGGGGGGAGCGTAGTGAGTACTTCATTTTAGTTTGGTCCCATATCTGTATGGAGTTGAGTATGGCTGGGTTTGTGGTTCTTAGAATGGCTCTTTGTGGTCTAGGTACCCAGATGTAGAACTGCGGGAGGTCCATTCCCATCATCGACGATTCTATGTCTGCCCAGCGCCTCCTATCTGGGGGTGTGTGCCATTGTATAACTTGGGTCAACTGCGCCGCTAAGTAGTAGTTATATATATTAGGTAGTCCCAGTCCCCCTCTAGGTTTTGGTCTATACATGAGGGTCCGCGCTAGTCTCGGGCGCTTAGTGTGCCAAATGAAGGAGTCTATTGCCCGCTATAGGCCCGTCAGATCCCCTCGGGATACTTTCACTGGGAGTGCCTGAAAGAGGAACAGGAGCCTCAGCAGCACATTCAGTTTTATAGAGTGTACACGGCCCAGCCAGGACATAGGCCTGTCTGTCCACTGTTCCAGCTCTTTGGTGAGGGTCTGCAGCAGGGGTTGATAGTTGCGGGCGTAAAGGGATGATGGGTTTGCCGTTAAGCGTATCCCTAGGTACATAAACTCGTCCGTGTTTATCTTTAAAGCGGTGTTGACTGCGTATTAGCTACATGTCTGGGGTTGCTAAATGAAAAGGCATCGCCACCGATTTGGTGTAGTTTATCTTGTAGCCTGCTAGACTTCCGAATCGTTCCAGCAGCAGTGTTAAAGGACCACTCTAGGCACCCAGACCACTTCAGCTTAATGAGGTGGTCTGGGTTAACCCATTTTTTCATAAACCTAGCAGTTTTAAGCCTTCCCCCCATTCCCTCTAGCGGCTGTCTCATTGACAGCCGCTAGAGGCGCTTGCGTGCTTCTCACTGTGATTTTCACAGTGAGAGCACGCCAGCGTCCATAGGAAAGCATTATGAATGCTTTCCTATGTGACCGGCTGAATCCGCGCGCAGCTCTTGCCGCGCGTGCGCATTCAGCCGCATGGGAGGAGAAGAGGAGGATCGGAGGAGGAGAGCTCCCCGCCCAGCGCTGGAAAAAGGTAAGGTTTAACCCCTTTCCCCCTTCCAGAGCCGGGCGGGAGGGGGACCCTGAGGGTGGGGACACCCTCAGGGCACTATAGTGCCAAGAAAACGAGTATGTTTTCCTGGCACTATAGTGGTCCTTTAAGTGGTGAAGTGAGTTTAATGGGTCGCTGAGGGTCAGCATGACATCGTCAGCATATGCGGACACTGTAAATGTCGTACCTTTGACGTCAATTCCCTCAATGTGCGGGTGCTTCCTAATGGCCTGCAGAAGTGGCTCTAGGGCTAGAGCAAACAGTGAGGGGGACAATGGACACCCCTGTCTGGTGCCGTTCCCAAGGGTGAACGGTCTTCTGCGCGCCCCTGTTATGAGTATTTGTGCCCGGATGTCCGTGTATAGTGCCTGTATTGCCGTTATAAATGGTTCTGGGAATCCCTGGAAGCGGAGCAGCCCGAACAGGTAAGGCCACAACACTCTGTCAAATGCCTTCTCCGCGTCCAGGGTGAGTGCCAGAGAAGGCGTTCTGGACTCCATCATATACCACAACATGTCCACTCCCCGTCTAGTATTTTCGTATAATTGACGTCCGGGTATAAAACTGACCTGATCAGGATGGACCAGGCGCGGAAGGAGGGGCGTTAGTCTGGATGCTAATATTTTAGCAAAGATTTTGAGGTCGGTATTTATGAGTGATATCGGTCTGTAATTCGGAGCTAGCGTGTCGCCCCTATCCGGTTTTGGCAGGAGTACTACATTCGCTGTCGCCATGTCCATGTCAGGTACCCCACCCTGCATAAAGTGGTTACTAAGGATCGTGAGGTGAGGAGCCAGGACGTCTCTAAATTGTTTGTAATAGCTTATGTCATATCCGTCCGGCCCTGGTGCCCTGTTACCCTTAAGGGACGCTATAGCCTTTTCCACCTCGAGTTGGGTTATCGGGGGTTTGTAGTGATTCTGCCGTGTCCCCACTCACTTTGTGAATGGTCAGTTCCGATAGGAACTGTTGTATGTCGTTCATATAGGTTGCGTTGCTGGCCCGGAGGTGAGGGGAATGATTGTAGAGGTCTGTGAAGTATGTGGTGAAAACTTCATTAATAGTGTCAGGTGTCATGGCTAAGGTGTTCGCTGCTGTGCGGATTTTCGTTATGGGTTTACCCTGCGGTCTCGGTCGCAGCGCTCTGGCTAGGAGTGTGTCTGTTTTATTCGCTTTTTCATAAAATAGTCTTTTTGACCAGAGTAGGGAGCGTGTCACCGCCTCAAGGGAGAGATCCCTGATAGAGTGCCTAAGGGCGTTGAGTTCCCTGAGTTTGAAATCAGTCGGATTGGTTTTATGTTGTTGTTCTGTCTTCCGTAAGGCTGACTGTAGGTCAAGTAGTAGTTTTGTTTTAGCTCGCTTTTTATGCGTGGCTATTTTTATAAAATGTCCTCGCAGGACAGCTTTATGTGCCGCACAGACTGTTGTGGGATTAGCGTCAGGTGTCGTATTGAGCTCAAAGTATTCTGTGATGGCCAGTCGCGTTGATTCCCTGATGTTGTCATCATTTAGGAGACTGGTGTTTAGCTTCCAGGTCCAGTTGGATTGGTAGCGCAATTTGCCCAGGGTGAGTGTTACGTCTGCGTGATCAGACCATGTTATGTTATTAATGGCTGTGTGCAGGGCCTTATCCATCCCCGCCCCATTTAGAAAAATATTATCGATTCGGGAGTACGTGTTATGTGGTGCTGAGTAAAATGTATAGTCTGAGGTGGTCGGGTGTTGCAGTCGCCAGACATCTAGTAGGCCGGTGTGTGTCAGGAATGTGTGTAGCAATTTATCTTGTCCTCCCCTGCCCTGTGATCGTATGGTGTCTGGTTTTGAGCTCCTATCAGATGCTGGACTTGGAACTGCATTGAAGTCACCCCCTACCACAAGAACCCCCCCCCCGCTCCATCCACCAACACCTCTAAGCTGGTCCAGAACTGTGGGTCCGGCTCGTTGGGCGCGTACACGTTAATGATATGTAATTTTGTAGTATATAGGGTCCCCCCTATGTAGATAAATCTCCCCTCCGGGTCAGCCTGAATGGTAGTTATTTGCAGTGGGCAGCTTTTATGAATAAGGATCGCTACCCCTGATCAATGGCGTATTGTACGTGCCTCATGTACCATCGTGTAGGTTCTGTCTGTTAGCCTTGGGTGCCGACCTGGGTAGGTGCGTCTCTTGTAGCAGAGCAATATCTACTTGTTTGGTTTTTATGTCCCTCATGGGTAAGCGTCTTTTGGTCGGGGTATTCAGCCCCTTGACATTAAGTGACAGTACCTTAAGAGCCATGAGGAAGTGCATGTGGTGTTGCTGGTGGAATAAGGCCTACAGGTGCTCGTACTACCTTATCACTGCTGCGGTTCGTGATGCGTGTTCGGTTGTGAGTGGGGTC